TTTTACTGCTAGGGTGTCTCCAATGCACTAGGTTATGCCTTATGCATCAAAGCGTTTCACTGAGTCRTGTGACTCGGCTTTTATTTTAGTTTGTAGATTATAGCTTAGCTATAATCTACATTTCTCTTCAGCTGAATCCAGCACCATCCAGGTCATGAATGTGACAACGAGGAACATACTGTTGAATATTCCCCAAGCCTCCTCTCTTTCCAAAACAAATATTACTTGGTTATCGATCTTGTGCTTTATGCAGAAGCACATTGAATACATAGTGGCTGTGTTTGGTGGGTTTTCTAAACCTTGAACTTTTTCCCACCAAACTTTATTGTGTGGTTACAAAGATGAACAGTGTCTCTTAAAATCACTGAATTTGCTTTTTCTTTTATTTTGCTAACCACTGCACTGCATTCTGTATACTTAATTTCTCTGTAGAGAAGAAATTTCAGTGCCCATCGAATCAAAATAAGCATGCTGCTGACTGAGTGAGCTTTCGATCTATGCATCATGGAAAAGCTAAGGAAGGAGGCACACCATTTCTAACGCAGGTAGTAGCATTTGGTTACGCTTACTCTGTGAGGCACTATTTTATGTAACAGATTCTTATTCCACTCTGGAGGGATAATTTTATTTTCCACTTAGCAAAACCTCTTGGCTTGGACTGGTTCTTGCCAGGGAACCAGGCTTCATAAAAAAAAGGCAGTAAATTCTGATTTTGTGCTTGTTTGATAATTAATAGTGCAATGTCAGCAGCAGTGCAAAATGCAAGGTTTTTTTTTTTTTCCCCCTTCTGCAGGTTATAAAAGATGGGTTTTAAGTCGACAGCTTTATGCTGGGTGTCTAAGGCACATACCATTTACTAAAATGAGGTTAGCAGCTTCACTGGAGGTTCAGCTATGCACGTGGATGTATGTGTGTGAGGCCATCCCATTAACCTGGCATCTTTTGGGCCAAGTGCAACTACAGATACAGTTACACTAGCAACCGTTCTGCTCCTTCTGTGGATACTCAGTTTATAGCAACACTAGTTTTGCCTTACTGCTAAAACAGCAACTGAAGTGTGTGGGGGGTTGTCAGTTTATTTATGCTAATTATAAATGGTTTTTATATGTATATATTTAATATGGGYGGAAAAGAAGAACGAGGCAGAAAAAATGCCATGTAAACTTGATGCTACTGAAATATATGTATTTATTTCTGTTTTCACCATGCTCCAATATTTACCAAAGCCTAAATAAAAGCAGTAATTTGAAGTCTTAACTAAGCTATAGAGTCACAGCTCATTTTTAAGTGCATCCCTGGCCCGAGCACCTCTTGGTGGTCAATGATAGGGCCACGCAAGCGAAACGTCCCATGCGCCAGCACAGAGCAAACCACAAAGAAGTCGCGATCCRGGCGAGCGTGTGGGCAACCTGTCTGTCAGGGCAGGATTAGACCCCCCTCATTCACCTGGGAAGTCACCGGACGCCCATGTGCTCCCCTGTGTGCCCTCCAGCGCTCGGCTGGACCAAGCGACGTGTCCTGGTGTCATCACAAGGTGTATCCGAATATCCATGACTTTCCTCCTCAGATCATCCCACTACGGAGTCTGTAAACGGGACCCATAACATTAGCTCTGCCTCCCTCATTGCTGAGCTAGTCTGAAGTCTCTAGGGCTTTCTGCAGGTCCACAACAAACCTACTTGTGGCATCACAACACATCCAAGGCCTCACAGTCTACCTTTGACTGTCAGACATTTTCGCTCTGATTGTTCACAGAAAATAAATTTAAAAAGAAGAAAAATGGGAATTACGTGGCCATTATTATGAGTAACAAGAACTCTATGACAAATTGACATCAGTTGTTAAAACTGACGAATGCATCTTTCCCCTCTACAGACCTTGCCACCTGTTACTCCTTGGATGTCCGTTCTGTTTGTGCCCTGAAAGCAGCCTGAAAAACTTCCCAAGGTGACTGGGCTTTGTCAAAAATAAAAAGTATTTGTCAGATGTATCAGTTATCCCAGAGAAAATGAGGAAGCAGCACAACTGCTTGTATTAAGATCTTGTATTAAGGCTTGTATTCCCTTGTATGTGTTGGACCCAACTTAACTTGGCTTTTACCAACAGGTTGGTGACTTCAGAGCACCACACACACAGCCGTAAGGCAGAGATAGGGCACAGAAAGAGCACACGGGCACTTTGGCCTCCTGGCATTTTCAACCTTCCCCTGCTTCTCCCAGCTTCTTCCAGCTCCTTTCCCTCAGCCCTCCACCTCGGCCTGGCCACTTCTTTTTCCCAGGAGCAGCAAAGAGAGCAACAGCAGCTGAAAGAGGAAAGGTCTGCTTGTTTTTCTTGCTGGGCCTACAGCAAAACCTCAGTAAAACTCTGGCATTACCTGGAAGGACTCATCCCCTGGCTGGCTGCGCTACTGCAGCCACCACACGCCTACTGACCCCAAGGGGCGCGCGAGGCCTAAATGGCTTTTATAACCTGACGAGGTACAAAAGAGAAAGTCGGGAAAACAAGTAAGTTTACACAAGCCAGGACACCACAATGTGCCCTATTTCTTCAGAAAGCACTAGCAATCAGGGTGTAGAAAGAAGGGAAGAAAAAGAGGGAGGCAGAGAGGAAGGCCAAGGAGGAGGAGGGATTGAGGTGGGGAGAGAGGGAAGGAGACTTGGTGTTTTTTTGATTTACTTTTATCTTCTTAAAAGAGAGAAAGAATGGCAGGGAAAAAAAAAAGAAAAAAAAAGGCAATAAAATACTTAGAAGGCAAGATTTCCATAGGAAAAAAATATTTTATTTTTTTAAGAACAAATTCAGTTTGAAACAGATGTGGAATGTGATTTTCATAATTTTCATTTTCTGGGAGCTAATCGCAATGTGGAACTAAAGCAGATTTCAAAATCATGACCGGCTATTAAAAAAAAAAAAAAACTGAAAAAAAACAAAACAACAAAACAAATAAAAAACAGAGAAAGAAGAAATTATTTATAACTCAAGCATAATACTGTGTTACTTACAAACCGGACAAAAAAATTCTTAAATAAATATTCATGGTACACAGTTTCAGCACAAATATGCGGCAATTTGGCAACCTTTTATACCATTTTTTTCCTCAATACAGTGCAAAGGGGAATGACACTGCCTTTAAACAAGCTGTAGCTAAATACATTGCAAAATTCAAATTTTATACAAAACATCTCGCTCAGACTTTATAAAAAAACAACATTGCTTTATATACACAATCTGGTTAAGAAAAGCCATTTTTGTCTTGTTTTCATGTGTATTTTTTATTATTTAAAAAGGCGAATAAGGCTACTGTAACACCCCAAATCCATATACAGTAAATCTGAACCTATTTACAGCATCTTCACTTAGACATGATGGTGCAAATTCCAAGTCGGGTGACTAGGGATGATCATACAAGCAAGGCATTTACAGTAACTTTTCAAAGCTGAACCAACGTCAAATAAAGGAACAGTTGGTAGATTGTCATAATTCTGCACCAGACACAAAACAGACGCACAGTACATTTTTCTTTTTTTCAATTGGTTGCAGGTTGCTCTTCAGCAATTCATCTGATTTCTTTTTTTTTTCACAGTTTAGTACATAACCAGAATGTAGCCAACTGATGAAGCATAGATTCGATTTAATAAAAATCACAATTGGTAAACCCATATTTTCCCTTTCTCCCCCTCCCCCAAATAAAATCTTAATGACTTACAAGAGAACCTTGTATGGATGGATTCACAGAAAGGAAGGGTTGTTGAAAAGAATTACATATGTAGTGTAGTTAGTCACCATGGTAACCTTCCACGGAACCATGGGTTGGGATTTTTTGTTTTGTTTCTCGCTTTTGGACCAACATCCCAACATAATTTTCAGGTTCAGGAAACAGAGAGAGTAATCACTTCTATGACAGTTTTGTTTTTATGGTTTTTTTTTTGCTCCTTGCAGGTGCTTGCTGGAGGCCTGAGAACCCCAAAACGCTGTTGCTACATTTTCTTTCCAAATCAGAAAGCAAAGTGTGTTACCATAGTAACATGACTATGTTAGAAATGTCTATTTTGCATAGCATATAAAAAAGTAGTTTTTTTTTTTTTTCTTTTTCCCTCTTTTTTCCTCCCCAGGGTAGGGGCTTTAGGGGAATAACGACACTAAAGAGAAAACTTTAACCTGAAACCCCCCTCTATGAATCTGGATGAAATCTAGGGAACACTTCAGCCCATGAGGCAAGGGAAAATGAAACACAGAAAACAAACGCCGGAACACCTTGTCACTGTTAAATATGCAGTGCAGGAACATCTGATTCTCTGATACTCTGGGCCTTTTATTTCCTAGTTTACTGTTATATGGGATGCCTTTATAGGGCTTTAAGTCTTTCTGTTGCTTTTTCTTTTTTTTCCCAGAAGCAGTTTCTTTTTTTAAAAACAAAGAATATATATGTGCATAAACATACACACATGTGTATATGTGTGTGTGTGTGTGTTGTGTGTATATAAAATGATGACTAGTTAAGACTATTCAATTGCCGCAAATGAATTTCACATCTTCTGGTGTAAATTCTGTGCAATCTCAAAATATATATTAGTAAAAAACAAAACGAAGCAAAAAAAGTAAGAAAGAAACAAAGAAACAAAGAAACAAAGAAAAACTCTTGTTTATATCCCTTGTGTTCTATACACCTATTATAAATAAGACATATCTTCCTTCTCCATCTCAGTGTCATAATTTATTTTATTCTCATGGACTGCAAGAGGTTTGCCATATGTGCTTTAACTTTGCAACAGAGCACCAGTGAACTGCCGTGTCGGTTATAGTACCTGCATGCGCTGTGCAGGGACAGCACTAYGATAAACCAAAGCGTCAAAAGGCTCAGTCAGAAAAAATAATAATAATAAAAAAAAGATTTATTTTTAGAGATGAGAACTTTTTTTTTTTTTTTACACCTTTTCCAGTGTTGGAATTATAGCTCATTTGACCCATTGGCTTATCATCATCCGGGTGAGATTTGGCTCTCTGCTATTTTCTTAAATGCTTTCCCTGTGTTTAGTATAATGTGATAGTATAGCAGCTGAGTCTGCTTAAAAGTCATCCGCAGCAGACCTCATTTTTGCTACAGCTTCAAAGCTGTACATTTTATTGCCAGTACCACAACAGCCCTGCCCTAATATATCCTCAGTGGCCTACTACTGTCTTGTCCTCTCCAAGCTCGCTCATTTACTAACAATACCCCTTTGTTCTACTGTATTGAAGGTGCTGTTTTTTTTTCTGCCCACTGGTTATTTGATGACCACGAATTCCTTCAAGTGCAGCCCTAATCCTCTGCGCGTGTTACTGTGTCTCCTAGTGGCCTCCTGAAACTCAGCGTGCCCAAGTGCGGCGCTACCTAAAGGGTTTCTCCTCCCCGGCTTCTGCTTTCGAGGCAGCAATATCAGCTGCAAGGGCAGCCAGCCCTTCCCTCCACCACCCAGTCCTGCTCCTGATTTTGTCGACAGCCTTAACTTTTTGGCTGGAAGGCTCCCTGCTATCAAACACAATTTCTATAAATGTATTACCCATTCAACTGAGGCTGCTGTAGCAGATGGATGGAGCACGTATCTCCAAACATTAATGTTCCTTTAGTGATTCAGGAGGTGGAGTGAAAGGAAATTTTACGTGAAGGATGGCAGAGCCCCAGATAACAGATTTAAATGGAACAGTGACGGACTAAAAGCAAGAGAACGTTAAAAGTCTTACTTAGACACCAAGGTCTGGGTGACAAATCCAGTATGCACCGAGAGAGACACACAAAAGTCAGAAGATTGCATTTCAAGCTTGATATCCTAGAGCACCTTCCCAGGATGCCTAGAGCTATTAACATCCATGGATCACTCCATCTTCCCTTGGCTTTTGTACATGCCTGAATGCCTGCAGCACATGGCTCTGAGGATGATGAATGTAACAAGAGTACAGCAATCAGAATGGGTATCTTCTACTTTAAAGTCTTCCAGCTTTTAGTGAATGCTTATTCACCGAGATAGGAATTCTACAGACTAGGTAAGCTGTCCAGCTCAAGTCGGCTCTCGGAGAAACAGCTGCCGCCTTTTCTCCCCTGCGCTTGAGTCAATACCAGCGCACAAGGCATCATCACAAACCCCAACAGAAAGCATTTGACCAGTAAGTTTCCTCTATGACTCAACTGTACCACAGAGTTGGTGCTGTGTTTCTCAGACCTTGTAATAAATGTTTGCTGGACTCTGAGGAGGCATCTCTTGCACTATATACACCGGGTGTCCATAGTCGCCGCTGACCTTTTCATAGTGGGGGCAAAAGACACTGTCTGCAGTCCTTAGAGGAATGATAATGTCACTGGGCTCGGAACCATTGTTGTTGCCACTGCGTTTTGGGGTGGCTAACGTACTAAGTGACAGAGTCGTGGTGTGCTGCGGGGAATGCTTCCTGTGTCTTCTCCGGTACTTCAATAAAAGAACCACCAAAGTGATGATGATGACGATGAAAATGATGCACCCTGATGCAATCCCTGCAAATAAGGCCACCTCTGAACCCAGTATACTGGAATGCCCAGCCTTACTGCCATCTGTGCTAGATCCTAGAAAGAATGAAAATACAACAGATAAAAGTTATTGCCATCCTGCAACCAATTTACGCTTTTCAAAAATGTGTAGAGTAAGCAAGCCTGGAAGAATTAACTGACAGCTAAACTTTGACAAACCAATTACCCTGTTAGATAGCTAAATGCAAACAGCTGCAGTCAGCAATCAATACTGAACAGGGCTGCGTGTCTGCTGCTCTCACTTCCATGCAGCTCCCGGGCTGCACTGCTTCATACATCATCATCCATCAGCAGCCGGGGCGGGTGCCGACAGGGCAGCCTCTGACGCGGCCCCRTCTCCAGAAGGTCTCTGGCAGCTCGGGGTGCCCGGGACACGAGGCAAGGGGCAGCAGCGCGGCCCAACAGCGGCCCCACAACAGCGGCCCCAACGACAGCCCCTTTGAGAGCGACACGCAGCTCCGCTCCTTTATTCTTTACGTATCGACTTAAGTTAAGCCGCACTTGGTGCCTATCTAGGTAGTCTTGCAAGTGAAACAAAGGCACTTGAGGCAGCGCGGGAGACAGGAGAAGGGGTTATGATATATATTCTATCTGCATGTGTTGCCTAACTTACACTTACTAAAAAATAACCAAAAAAAAAAAAGGAATCAAAAACACATACATGGAATTTGGGAGAGGCCCACATGTGCAACAGCCTATTCAGGATTTGGCTCCACCAGTCACGTCATCAGTTTGTTCCATGAATTAAATGAATGCTCACTTTACACCTTGTCCCTTTAAAGTCTGAATCTCCCCCTCTAGATGCTCACTTCCAGAGGAATAAAGCTACAGATGCTAAGTTCACATAACTATGAACTTTTCCAACTGTAACCTTAGTACAAAATCGCTGAAGCCCACGCAACAACTGCCACATAAAAGTTTCATTAGCCTGATAACAAATGATGGCAAGGCAAACCTGAAGCCACTTTTGAGAACTCCAAAATCAACTCTTGGCAGATTTTTCTTTGTAACATTCCAAATTCACAGATTTTTTTTCCAGAGATCTTGTGTCTTAAGAGCTTTTTTTTTCATTTTCACCTACTGTGCAAAATTCACCTTGAAAATATTTCTTTGGAACCTTCATATTATCTCGCTGAGTTATTTTATATGAAAAAAATATTTTAATTTACTGAAGGATCAGCCATTCATGTGTACTCTTTATATGATCAGTTAAAAGATCAGGGCATTAATTACAGGTGCCTTGAAATAAACTTTATAAACGGCTGTCAAGAACCACTTGATAATGTATTATACGGGAAGAGAAAGACGGAGAGAGTCTTTCATCTGCCAGAGCACTAAATGGAAGGCAGCACTTACCATCGTAAAGCTGCTCAGAGAATGTCCTATCCAGAAACTTTCCTGTAAATGAGTGATATTCTCATAAGGTAAGTAATTAACTTCAACTGCAAAGTGAAGAGGAGGAAGAGCAACTGTGGCCAAAACTTACAGCTCCTGAAACTAGCCTCTAGAGCACCTGAAGTCATTTTTGATTCAACTCACTATGAAAACATCACATTTCAGTGCAAAAATAAAAACGTGCTTGGGAACAAAGCAGGAAATCTGTCAGAGCTACTTCCCAGGTCAAAATGCAATAGTATCTACCTGAATGATCCTTCACAAATGGACTCGTCGTGGAACTTTTCCCATTGGTACCAGCTTCCTGCTCTGGGCGTTTTGTTGGATCTGTATTCCGAGGTAACCCAGCAGAATTGGGATCTGTGGGAAAGAAAAATGATTCACTGCAACTTAGACGTCTGATGATATTACGCTTTATAAGCTGGTTATATTTATCATGAGACATGAATAGCTTTGAACAGAAGAATCTTTATGCAAAGAACTATGAGATATAAGAATGTAATTTTCCTTTTAAAGCAAAGTGGTTATATTAGTTATTTCAGAGGTTTAAATTGTGAGGCCATCTGCAGAAACTATAGGGATTCCTGTAATTGGCTAGAGAAGCTTTGCAGATGACATTTCAGTTTAACTGAGGAAGTTGATTGACTACTAAACCAACTTCTACTTAGAAGAATAATTCTTTCTTCCTGCACAATAGGTTATCTATATATGAAAAGGGACAATGAACAAAAACTTCTCTGTAAACAGAATTTATAACAAGCAAACTATAGAAATATTAGCTTCCCTCCTTTCACTTATGTTAAATAATTTTCAATAGTGAAGTTGCAGCTTTTGTCTTTAAAATAAAAATAAAAATGACTGAAACAGGTTACTCCCAGGTGACCTTTCCTTCTAGGGAGCTCTCCAATGAAGAGATCTTATTACACTAAACCTCCTCCTGTAGAAATCTGTCAGTAGCTGAGGAACAGAAAATAGGCTTTGCTTTCAGACTATCAGGGAGGAATGACCACTCTAGGCTCCGTTGGCTCTCTGTTCTGCTCTATTAAAAGAAGCCTGAAAACTAAAAGGATACTGAGACTGATCAAAGCGATTTCATGAAACAGCAGACGGTCTTTACCTTGTCCAACTTTCATGAGGATCTTCATGGTTTTTGTCTGGCACACCCCTCCCTCCTGGTTATCCAGGCCCTCCAAAGACCCATTTGATGTTGCTGATTAAAAAAAAATAAAAACAAAATAAAAATAAAATAAAAATCAGGAAATCAACAGGCAAAGTGATGTGAACATGAGTGTCTAAAAGCATAAACTCTTTTAATCTACCCAGACCTGTTCTTGTAGCTCAGGTTGACCTATGAAAAGATGTGAAATGTTGAAAGCCAAAGGAATGAATACTCCGGTAAGACGCACAATACATACAAATGGCGGAATGTGTTATCAAGGTCTCAGATTTATCCAGCAACTTTTTATTTTTTTCTATGCACATTTGACTGGCTGGGACAAAAACACAGCACCTTCCTAAAAGGTGATGGAGCCAGCTGAAAAGGAAGCCCTGGCAGGCTCAAAGGAGCAAAGAACTGCAAATTCGGCCATATCTTTATAATCACCACGTTCCACCTGCTTCCTCTATGACAAATCTCCCACTGGAAGAAGTGAACACACACAAGAGACGCAGGTGAAAGCCGAGATTCCACGCTGATTGGGAAACCATTTAGTATTTTGCAGCATAACCTCATGTTTCTCAGTGCTTGGGAGCACGGAGGGGGGGCAACTCGCTCCCTTCCCACAGAAACCCCTGGCTCGCACACGGGGCCTGGTGCTCTCGGAGGCGCCGGCGGGGGCAGCTCCCTGTGAGGGGCCGAGGCACCGCGTCCAGGCCACGTCCAGGCCGTGGAGGCGCCGGGCCGGCCGCGGGCTGCCAGCCCACGCTTCTCCTCGGAAAGGCACGACGGGCACGGCCACGGCGCCCTCGTTCGCGCGCCATGGCCCGTTTACTCCTCAGGGTTCCTCGGGGAAGGCGCTTTTGCTTTCATTACTTCCTTTCCCGCACGGGCGGCCCTGCGGGGCCTGGTCAGACCGTGCGGACGCGGCCGGTCCCGGCGCCGGCTCCGTTTCACCTCGGCCCTGCTCGGCCGCTCAGCCCTCAGCCGTGCCCAGGCTCGCAGGGCAGAGGGGCGGGCGCCCCTTCCAGGCCACCGACGGAAAACAAACAAACGGGGAAGAAAGGGAAAAGCACCGGGGAGACTGCCCCGGCACTGATGAGTGCTTAGCCAGCACCTTCCTCCTTGCAGCCTCGCTCCTTTCAGCTAGGGATCTAGCTCAACAAGGGCCTCACACTGTTCAGATTTTTGTTTCTAATTCTCCTTCCTTCCCTCTCTCTCTCGCCTTCCTTGGGGATTTTCTTTCAAGCGCGGGCGATGTATATTTCCTTTTTCCTTCACAATGTCTTGCTAGCCCCATGGCAGTATTTTTCTTGCTCTAATCTTCTCTCTAGCCGTAAAGATATAAGCCCCATACTGCTGACGACCGCTTCCCAGCCTTTGATCTGCTGCTTGTTTTTGTTCCCCCTCCTGCCTCTTTTGTGACTACCTCAAATTACAGCCACCACACAAACTTCCCCATTGCGCTTTCCTCCCCTACAAGGGCTTTTCCTCCTCACACGGGGTCCCTGCCAGCTCCTCCTCTTGTGTCCCTCCCCACTGAAGAATCATGAGGATGGAAGGACCAGAAGCTGCTTCTGCTGCTGTTTTCTTTTTTTTTTTTCAAAGTTAAAAAAATCCCAACTTTTAAAAATATATTAAAAAAGCACTATRAGTAATTTAAGATAAAAGCAGATCTGAAATGCGCCACTGCATTGCCAGGCTCAGAAAATAATGGAGACGTATAGTTTTGTTTTCTTTTGTTTTTTTCCAGGGGGAAAAAAAAATCAATACTAAGAACCAGTTCTGGACATAAATCAAATGTGTCTTTGCTGAAAGTGTTTTTTATGACCTATTTGCCAATGTACCAGTGCAAGGACAGGGAGGGGGAAAAAAAGCATTAAATAGCAATACCAAAGCTGAGCATCAGCTGAAAGTGCAACTAATAAACACTGACTTTGTCTTGCTTTGTTGTTATTCTTTGTTTTTTAATCTCGGCTATGGGGGTTCACATCTCTTTAAACACCTTCTACTTGATTTTAATTGAATCGAGTGCTGATTCCTCTGAACATCAATGCCTTTTTATTCTCTAAAAGCCTATCCATTTAACCTGCAGTGCGGGAGAGCACAATAAGATGCAGAGGATGCTGTCTGACCTCAGCAGAGAATAAGGAAGTTAGATGGCCAGGAGAATGCAAAATTACTTCAAATACAGTCTGCAAATGAAGGCCCACATGTACAATGACTCTGGTTGTGTGCCTACAAGAGCTCAATCTGCCTCGCTTGCTAAAAGAATGCTCCCTTGGCTTTGATGTCAGATGAATGAATTTGCAGAAGTATTCACTTTTCCCCAGTTCTTCAAGGGGTTTTCTGAAAGCCTGTGTTATAGCTCAGAGTAGAGCATGCTACATCCTGAGGAATGGAGAATTTTCAAAGAGGAGAGTTTCAGTGACAAAGCAAAGTTTCAATCTCAGCTTCTCCCTGTAATTAAACTGACGATTACCCAAGGCCACTGGAGGAAATTATTTTTCAAAATTCATTAAGACTATCAAAATGTAACCTCACATATCCCTGGAGTACCAGGAAGAAAGTGGGTAGTTTTAAACACATAGTTTTAAGCTTCAAAAAGCTGCATGGAGAGAGAGAAGTAATCTGGGACAGTGGAGAAAACAGTTTTATGCTGCTAATGCCCCTTGACAGTTTAGTGTGCGTAAGCCAGGCAAGGCAGCAAGTATAAAATACACCTCAAACACTTGCAGCTGTCCTTCTATATTGATCTCCAAGTGAAAATTATACCYGCTATGATCTACGCTCCTCCATTACGCTCACGCTGCTGTGGGAAAGCAGTCCTGTACCTGGAGTTCTGCTTRCATTGATATAATATTAAAAAATAACTAACCCTATCTGTTGAGGGTATGGCTAGGGTTTAGGGTGGATATGCAGAAACACATCGCTAATTTATCATACCTAAAGGGAAATGCTACTCTCAAGTGTGTTTATGTGAATAAATAAATTTTAGAGTTTCCATTCCCCCCTCTAAAAAAAAAATTTTTTTTTTTTAAATTTTAGGGTCTGAATATGGATATATTTTAGAAGCATTTACTAATATAAATTACCATATATGACTTTCTTCTTAGAAGAATACATGCTACTTGAATATTAACATCACCAAAAATAATCAATGGTTAATACAAAGATGTTCATGAGTTCCAGCATCACACACTTTAGAGTAATACAGGCAGCATATTGTAAACTGTGACAAAGCATGATGGTGTTAATCAGCTAATGAGACATTTTTTATCTTTTGTTGGATATATACCTCTGATTTTCTGAGAGCTGCCCTGTTCCACTAATATCAATGGCAAAACTTCTATTAATTATAGTCAAATGTACACATTAATTATTTAGTCCACACTTTATCCATATTTATAAATRAACACATGGAATGGCTATAGAATCTTTGCTAATTTTAACCGCTTCCTGACAAAATTACAAGAATAAATTACAGGCAATACATTTTCAACAGTAAGTTAAAAACAGTTTTTGAGCCCTGTGTTAATAGTGGGCGTCTATATTTCTTGAAGTCAACAGCAGATTCTTTATTTTATAAGGAATTTAAGTTTGTGTTTTCAACGTTCAGAAAAACTAATTTCTTAAAAAATCAAGGGTGAGAGTTTACTGCTGTGTTCTTATTTTAGAGCAGTTAATGCACATTTTAGTTCAACTATCACCTCACAATAAGAGGTTATGAAATGACTCTGACCGAACCATATAATGTCAGTTCTGTCTTCCCTTGTTTAAAAAATAATATATATATATACATATGCATACGTACATACATATATGGAAATCATGCAAATCAATGCATGGTCGTTTACATTCATTTGCTTTTAGAACTTCATAAGCTCTGTTTATTGTATGAAATGCATTAGTCATGAATGCCGAGGTAGGGAATCAGCAAGTGAAACAGAATCAGCTGACAAGAATAGTTCCTGGCTATGATTCTTGTGCAGTCCCCATGGAGAGGAAGTAATATTACATTTTAATATGTCTTCATTTGATTGTTATTACTCTGCCTCCCAGGAGGCTAAGCCACTGCATGGATCTTGGCTGTTTTCAACCCATCGGGTTGGTAACATTGCTCTAATCAGATGGAGAATTAAGCTGCTGGATTTGTGCCTGTATATAGCTTTTCATTCACAAAGAGATTGGAAATGAAGGCAGAGTCGCAGAAATTTGACTTCCTACACTCTTAAAAATGCACCTTACCAAATTAAAAAACGCCAACACAATTACTTAAAAGAAAACACCGGTAGACTAAAATTTCAGCCCTTTACTTTTGTCACAATTATTACGCAGGCTTTCATGTTTTAGGTTTATGAAAAGCACTACCTAGCTCCCAAATTAAATGTCATATCCTTTGAACCAACACAGCTTCATAACTAATTTAATTCTGGAGCTTACATATGAAATGGACAACATGCCTGGAGAGGGAAATTTGATCATCCCGTTTACTTTTCCTGTTTCAGAGTCTCTAGGAACAAATGAGTGATGTCGGACTGATAGTGAAGGCAAAATTGCTTTTGGATATAGCCATTTAACTAACTATCTTATCAAAGATACATCACTGAAGGAGCCCTCAGGAATTAATCGCTACTGGTCTGGATCTGGAAGGAGGGAAGGAAGGAAGGAGGGAAGGAGGGAAGGAGGGAGGGAGGGAGGGAGGAAGAAGGAAGGAAGGAAGAAGGAAGGAA